GCTGCCGCCGACAAGGGATTGGAGGCTCTGCTGTCTCGTAGGCGGCGCTCCCAATAGCTCCAGTCCACGTCCTCAATCGGGTGAGTTTCCACAGCTTGCACGCTCTGAGGCGCGGTGTACAAAGAGTGAAGGACGTCCCATAACTCGTCTCGCAAAGAAGGCGAGTTCATGATTTCATTGAAGAGATTACAATGCACAGCGCTGCAATAGAACAATATGTCCGAACGCGCAGTCTGGGGCGTCAGCGGCTTCACGGCATGGGTGTAAATCCCCCCCTTCTTCTTGTCGGTCATGGCCCCGCAACAACAGCCCAACCAATTCGCGATGAAGAAAGAATACAGCGCCATGGAAATTCCAGACACCATTGCCTGGGCGATATGGACGTCCAGAAGAAATACCTGGACTACTATGATGATATGGAACGTGAAAAAAAACGATGAATCTGCCGCTCGAGCCCGGCGGCGCTTCCCGACCAGCCGAGCGGGTCCGCGACTCAAAAAAAAAAACCCTCACCTTTATTTCTGGGGAACGGCTGAGGGGGGTAATAATGACGGGGCGCTCGCGTACATGCACCGGGGTCCTTGCGAATTTGTTTCGCAAATATTATTGGGAATCTTTTTCAAATTGAAATCCGACCTCCATCCCTCCAGACTCCGCCGCAGGCGCCCAGAATAATAATAATAATTTCAAATTGCGGCAGCACCCCCAAATTATTATTGGAAGCATACCCCCTGGATTTGCCCAGGACCCCCCAGGAATCTTAGGGGCCCTGACGGATTCTGATGGTTTCTGGAGCCCCGTCCTGGAGGATTCCTCCCTGGACGCCCTCTTGGAGCCGTGTCGGGCCGTTTTGGGAAGCCGCTTGGCCCGTCTCGAGGCCATCTTAGGTCGTCTTGCGTCTTGGGCCGTCTTGAATCGGTCTTGGGCAATCTTGGCGGCCTTGGTGGCCTGTTTGGGCCAGGTGGCAGTCAGTCATCTTGGATTCCTCGGAGGGCACCAGGGGCATGTCTCGGCGCCGCATTTTGGACACCATCTGGTATCTGGAATCCAGATGACTGCCACCTTGGATTCCTCGGAGGGTGCCGGGCCATGTCTCGGACATGGCCCGGCACCGTTCGGCGCCGCATGCCCGTGCATGTTTCGGTGGCAGTCATCTTGGATTCTTCGGAGGGCGCCGTATGAAAAACGTATTGAGTGGCAATGTATCGCCTCATGTTGAGGCCCAGAATGCAAGTGAAACAATTGTTTTTCTCAACCAGTTTTCTGGTGACCCCCCCTTCGTGGGTCACCTGGTGTGCTTGCGCCGTATCGAAAACGCATTGAGAGGCAGTGCGCCGCCTCATGTTGAGGCCCAGAATGCAAGTGAAACAATGGGTTTCTCTCAACCAGTGTTCTGATGACCCACCCCTTCGTGGGTCACCAGGTGTGCTTGCGCCGTATTGCAAACGTATTGAGTGGCAATGCATCGCCTCATGTCGAGGCCCAGAGAGCAAGTGAAACAATTGTTTTGTCTCAACCAGTTTTCTGGTGACCCACCCCTTCGTGGGTCACCTGGTGTGCTTGCGACGTATGGCAAATATATTGAGTGGCAGTGCATCGCCACATGACGAGGCCAAGGATGCAGGTGAAACAATTTTTTTCTCAACAAGTTTTCTGGTGATCCACCCCTTCGTGGGTCACCTGGTGTGCTTGCGCCGCATGGAAAACGCATTGAGTGGCAATGCATCGCCTCATGTTGAGGCCCAGAATGCAACTGAAACAATTTGTTTTTCCAAACAAGTTTTCTGGTGACCCACCCCTTCGTGGTTCACCTGGTGCGCTTGCGCCGTATGGCAAAAATATTGAGTGGCAATGCGTCGCCTCATGTTAAGGCCCAGAATGCAAGTGAAACAGTTGGCTTGTCTTAACAAATTTTCTGGTGATCCACCCCTTCGTGGGTCACCTGGTGTGTGATTCGCCGTATTGAAAACGCACTGAGTGGCAATGCGTCGCCTCATGTTGAGGCCCAGAATGCAAGTGAAACGATGGGTTTTTCTCAACCAGTTTTCAGGTGACCCACCCCTTCGTGGGTCACCTGACGTAGTGAATGGCAGTGCGTCGCCTCATGACGAGGCCTAAAATACAAGTGAAACAATTGGTTTTTCTCAACCAGTTTTCTGGTGACCCACCCCTTCGTGGGTCACCTGGTGTGCATGCGCCGCATGGAGAACGCATTGAGTGGCAGCGCATCGCCACATGACGACGCCCAGGATGCAGGTGAAACAATCTGTATTTCTCAACCAGTTTTCTGGTGACCCACCCCTTCGTGGGTCACCTGGTGCGCTTGCGCCGTATGGCAAACGCATTGATGAGTGGCAGCGCATCGCCTCATGACGAGGCCCAGAGTGCAAGAGAAACAATTGTTTGTTCTCAACCAGTTTTCTGGTGACCCACCTCTTCGTGGGTCACCTGGTGTGTTTGCGCTGCATGGAAAACGCATTGAGTGGCAATGCGTCGCCTC